AAAATCGTAGAACTAATAACATATGATTCAGCAATCACACTACTGGGTATACAGCCAAAGGATATGAAGTCAGTACATTAAAGAGGTATCTGCATTACCATGTTCACTGCAACTATTCACAATATCCAAGATACATACAACTTAAGCGTCCATCAACAGATGGATAATGAAAATGTGGTATATTACATAATGGAATACTGTTCGACCCTTAAAAAGGAAATCTTGACATTGTGACAACATGGATTAACCTGTAGGACATTATGCTAAGTAAAATAAGTCAGGCAAAGAAAGACAAATACCAAATGGTCTCACTTATATGTGGAATCTAAAAATGTCAAATTCATTGAAATAGAGAATGGTGGTGACCAAAGGTTGTGGGGTGGGCGGTTGGGGAAATGTTGGTCAAGGACACAAAAATTCCAGTTAGGAGAAAGAAGTGTAGGATATCTACTGTATATCGTGGTGACTACAGTTAATAGCAACATATTATATATTTGAAAATAGGTACAAGAGTAGATTTTAAGTGTTCTCACCACAAAAACATGGTAAGTATGTGAGGTAATACATGTTAAATCGCTTGATTTAGCCATTCCACAATGTATACATATATCAAAACATCATGTATATACAATTATATACAATTTTTGTGTTGTTTTGTTTCCTTTTTGAGACTGGGTCTCATTCTGTCACCCAGGCTGGATGGAGTGCAGTGGCACGATCTTGGCTTACTATAACCTCTGCCTCCCAGGTTCAAGCCGTCCTCCCACTTCAGCCTCCCAAGTAGCTAGCACCACAGGTGCACACCACCACGCCCAGGTAATTTTTGTATTTTTTGTAGAGATGGGGTTTCACCATGTTGCCCAGGCTAGTCTCAAACTCCCGAGCTCAAACGATCCACCCGCCTCGGCCTCCCAAAGTGCTGATATTAAAGGTGTGAGCCACTGCACACAGCCTAAATTTTTACTAGTCAATTAAAAGAATTTTTAAAATAAACTTAAATGTAAATAGTCTAAGCACCCTAATTTAAAGGAAGAGATTGTCAAATTGGATTCTAAAAAATTAACAACCACCTATATGGAAACTACAAGAAACCTATTTTACATGTAAAGACTCAGCTGGGTGTGGAGGCTTATGCCTGTAATCCCAACACTTTGGAAGGCCAAGACAGGCAGATCATTTGAGGTCAGGAGTTCGAGACCAGCTTGGACAATATGGCAAAACCCTGACTCTACTAAAAATACAAAAATTAGCCTGGGGTGACAGTTCACACCTGTAGTCCCAGCTACTTGGGAGGCTGAAGCAGGAGAATTGCTTGAACCCGGAGGGCAGAGGTTGCAGTAAGCCGAGATCACACCACTGCACTCTAGCCTGGGTGAGAGAGCAAGACTATGTCTCAAAAAAAAAAAGAAAGAAAGAAATATAAAGACTCCACAGGACCCTATTCCATGTGCCTCTTCCCTTGGCTGAGTTAATTTGTATCTTTTTACTGTCAAAAAATTTTTAAAATATGAAATACTTAGGGATAAATCTGATATAAGATGTGTAAGATCTATAAGCATTGCTGAGAGAAATTAAAGAAAACCTAAACAAACTGGAGAGAGACACCAATGTTTATGGATCAACGCAATCCCAGTCAAAATCTCATCAGGTGTCTGGCAGAAACTGGCACCAAGCTAATTCTAAAATTCACATGGAAATGCTAAATACCTAGAATACTCAAAATAGCTTTGATGAAAAACAATTTGGCAGTACAAAGAGCTCAAAAACATACAGTCAACTGATTTTCAACATAGGTGTAAAGGCAATTCAGTGGAGAAAAAGATAGTCTTTTTTACAAATGTGGGCACAACTAGATATCCATATGCAAAAAAAGCTTGGATTCCTACCTTATACCATATACAAAAAGTAAATCAAAATTGATCACAGAACTAAATATAAAATCTGAACCTATATACCATCTAGAAAAAGCGAGAGAAAATCTTGGTGACCCTGGATTAAGCAAATATTCTCAGACATGACACCAAAAGCTGGAGCTACAAAAGAGTTGCACTTCAAGATTAAGAACTTCTGCTCTTTTAAAGGTACAGTTCAGATAATGAAAAGCTACACAGAAGTAATGTATTTGCAAATCACATATGTAAGACTTCTATCTAGAATATTTAAAGAACTCTCACAATTCAGCAATGAAAGAAAACCAACAACCCAATAAAAATATGTGGAAAAGATTTGAACAAATAAGTCACCAAAGATATACGAATGGCAAAAAATAAGCCCATGAAAATGTTCAACATCATTAGTCATTAGAGAAATGCAAATTCAAACCACAATGAGATCCAACTTCATACCCACTAAGATGGCTGTAATCAAAAAGATAATACCAAGTGTTAGTGAGGATGCAGAGGAACTGGAACCCTCACACATTGCTGGTGGAGATGTAAGATGATACAGGCACTTTAAAAACTGGCAGGTACTTGTAAATTTAGAACATTCACTTACTACGTGACTCAGCCATACTATTCCTAGATATTTACCAAAAAGAAATGAAAGCATATGTTCATACAAAGACTCGGACACAAACTTGAAGTTTTATTTGTAATAGCCAAACAATGAAAAAAAAATACTCAAATGTGCATCAAAGGTGGATGGAGAAACAGATTGTTGTACATCCATACAACAGAGTACTACTTAGCAATAAAAAGGAATGAACTATTGATAAACAGAAAAGTACAGATTATCTCAAAATTATTATGGCGAAGGCTGACGCAGGAGAATTGCTTGAACCCAGGAGGCAGTGAGCCAAGATCGCGCCACTGCACTCCAGTCTGGGCAACAAAGCAAGACTCCATCTCAAAACAAAAAAATGTATTATTATGGTGAATAAAAGAAGCCAGGCAAAAAAGAATATATACTATGTAATTCCACTTCTAAAAAGAATCTAGAAAACGTCAAGTAATCTATAGTAATAGAAAGCAGATCAGTGGTGGGAGCATGGCATGAAGGAAAGAGCGTGGGATTACAAAGAGGTACAAAGCAGCTTTTGAAGTGATAGATATGTTCATTATCTTGACTGTGGTGATGGTTTTATGGGCATGTACATATGTAAAAATGTATCAAATTGTATACTTTAAATATGTGCAACTTATAATATACCTATTTATTAAACTTAAAAACTAAGAGATAAAGAAAATAGCCAAGATGTTCCTAAAGAATAAGATAGCAGACACACAAATATGCATGCACACACACACTCACATAAAGCAACGGGGAAAGGGATAGCTTTTGCAATAAATTAAGTTGGGACAAATGGGTATTCCACATGGGGAAGAAAAGAGGAATCTACCACATACCGAGCACAAAAACAATTCCAGGTGGATAATAAATCTAAATGTGAAAGGTCAAATAATAAAAGTTCTGAAACATGGGGTAGGCAAAGATTACTTAAATAAGTCATAAAAATCACTAACCATTAAGGTTAAGATTGATAAAATTGACTATATTAAAAATAAGATCTTCAGTTCATCAAAAGATACCATAAAATGAAAAGATAACCATAGAATGAGTGAAAATATCTGTAATACACACAACTAACAAAGGACTGAGAATATTCAGAATATATAAAGAACTCTTACAGCTTAACAAGGGAGTGACAACTTCAGAGGAAAAAGACTAGAGTGGAACTGAAAGAGGAGATCCAAATGGTCACAAACATACGTAAAAGTTGATCAATGTCACTCCTACTCAGGGAAATGTAAATGAAGCCACCATGAAATACTACTACCTAACTACCAGACTTGGCAAAATGTTAACAGTCTGGATTTAATTGGATTACCTTGCTAAGGAAAAATTAACTAATTTTTTAAAAATTTAATAACCTGGCAAAATCAAGTGCCGCCATGTACAACAACAGGTTCATTCAGTCCTTGTTGGGACTGTAAACTGTTAAAAACAGTTTTGGAAGGTGGTTTGACATTATTTAGTGAAGCTAAAGATACCTATACCCATTACCTGGCAATTTCTAGGTACAGACCCTACAGAAATGTATGCATATATACACCGGGAAATCTAATACTCATATCAGCATAGTATTAGCCAAAAATGGAAGCAACTCAAATATCAGTCATCAACTCAATCAATATACTATGGTATAGTCATATAATGGAACTCAAAATACAAATGAAAGTGAAGAAACTACAACTATACACAAAGTAGTTGAACATATGAAACATCAGGTTGAGCAAAAAAAGCAAGACTCAAAAGAATACATACTGATTGCATTTACTTTAATCTGGAAACCAGGTAAACCACAGTATGTTATTTAGTGACATAACTGGTGTTAAAACTACAAAGAAAAGCAATGAAATAACTGCATAACAACCTCTTGAGTTTCTAGGGTGCACCACATTTTTTTAACCTGAGCAGTTGTTACATAGGTGTTCACTCTAAGTATCTGCTAAAATGTACATCTGTTATATGCGCTGTTCTATATTTGCTATATGGTGCTATAAAATTTTTCAAATGTAAAGAGTCTATGAGATTAATGGATTCAATATTCACCTATGAAATTTGCTATTAACATTTTTTGAATTTATTACAAATGAAACCATAAGCTGTATCATATTAAGTTATCATCTGACATAGCTAATAAGTAGTTAGCTCTTTATTCTACCAGTTACCAGCTATGTGACCTTGGGCAAACTAATCTTTCTGAGCCTCAGTTTCTATAAAATGAAGATAGAAAATAACAGTACTAATTCCAGAGTTATGAGAAGGAAATGAGATATCTATGTAAATACTTCAAACAGAACCTGGCATATAGCAAACAATCATTATGTATAACCATTAAATGGCACTTTAAGATGATGTTTAGACACACGCTACACATTAAGTGACCAATTTCACAAAAGCCAATGTGTTTTCATTGGTTAAAGGAGATGATGGTACCTATAACTGCAATACTAAATCATGCACAAAAGACAATGGACATCTTTCACATCACTTACCATCCAGTGACACCTCCAATGAACAGCTGGGTTGCCACGCTATACTTTTCTGCTGAAGGTCCAGATTCCTGCCCGAATAGCTTACGCCACCATGGCTGCTTCTTAGCAAATTCCGCAAGGTCCAGTGACTCAAAATTTCCGTCAAAGTTTCCTACAAGAAATAATATGTTAAATAAGAAAATATTTACTTTTATAAGAAATCACTACCATACCTAACTAGATTAAAATACATTTAAAGAAACAGAGATAGATATAATACGAAACCTCCAAATATTGTATTTTAAATAGTAAATTTATTCTAAGTTACAATTTTGGAAAATCAGACTAAAATCAGCAAATGCTAATGTCTATATTAGAGGGAAAAACCTAGAAAATCTAGAATTAGTCCTCTAGTTTGTCCTCTCAAATTTAAAAATAACAAAAAAGGCTGGGAATGGTGGCTCACGCCTGTAATCCCAGCGCTTTGGGAGGCCGAGGTGGGCGAATCACCCGTGGTCTGGAGTTCGAAACCAGTCTGGCCAAAATGGCGAAACCCCATCTCTACTAAAAATACAAAAATTAGCCAGGCGTGGTGGCGGGTGCCTGTAATCCCAGCTACTCGGGAGGCTGACGCACGAGAATTGCTTGAACCCAGGAAGCAAAGGTTGCAGTGAGCCGAGATAGCGCCGCTACACTCCAGTCTGGGCAACAGAGCAAGACTCCATCTCAAATAAATAAATCAATCCAAGAAGACCTACAAAAAACTGCCAGTAATGCATCCCAAATGAAACAAATTTGCCCCTTCTCTTCAGGAGTAACTCAATGCTATTCAGTAATCCACAAATTTTCTAAGTACTACGTAGATCTCCAGTGATAATGAAGATGAGAGGTAATGTTTAATTGAGCTCTTACTATTTACTAGGCAATGTGCTAAACATTAATCATGTATATCTAATTAAATCCAAAGAATAAGGTAGGTACTACTTATTAACTCAATTTTATAATTAAGAAATGAAAGCCAGGAACGGTGGCTCACGCCTGTAATCCCAGCACTTTGGGAGGCTGGAGGCAGACAGATCACCTGAGGTCAGGAGTTCAAGACCAGTCTGACTAACATGGAGAAACCCCACCTCTATTAAAAATACATAATTAGCCGGAGGTGGTGGCACACGCCTGTAATCCTAGCTACTCGGGAGGCTGAGGCAGGAGAATCTCTTGAACCTGAGGGGTGGAGGTTGTGGTGAGCCAAGATCACACCATTGCACTCTAGCTTGGGCAACAAGAATGAGACTCCACCTAAAAAAAAAAAAAAAAAAAAAAAAAAAAAGGCGCCGGGCACAGTGGCTTACGCCTGTAATCCCAGCACCTTGGGAAGCCGAGGTGGGCAGATCACCTGAGGTCAGGAGTTCAAGACCAGCCTGGCCAACACTGCGAAACCCCGTCTCTACTAAAACTACAAAAATTAGCTGGGCGTGGTGGCACGCGCCTGTAATCACAGCTATTCGGGAGGCTGAGGCAGGAGAATCACTGGAACCGGGGAGGCAGAGGTTGCAGTGAGGTGAGATTGCACCATTTCACCCCAGCCTGGGCAACAAGAGTGAAACTCTGTGTCAGAAAAAAAAAAAAAAAAAATGAAATGAAGGTTCCAAAGTTAAGTGATTTGCCCAAGCTTGGAGGAAGAATTAACAAAATGTCAATCCCTTTCTCTGTGGGAAGATAATGTCAGGCTCCCCTACTATACCCAGCCCTGTTTCCCTGGAAACACCGCACTAAGAAACGTCTGATATGAAATGTCAGCAATGTACTATTCAAAGCTGTTTACTGTAAAATTGACCTCAAATGATCAACTTCATCTGGCATGGAGTCTGTACAATCTTTTCACACATAATACAATAAACAATAGAAAATTACTACTACCCATGCAAAGGCAAAGCCATATAAAGAAACAAAATTTGTTTAAATAAACGAAATAGAAGCAGGCCAGGCATGGTGGCTCACACCTGTATCCCAGCACTTTGGAAAGCCCAGGGGGCGGATCACTCGAAGTCAGGAGTTCAAGACCAGCCTGGCCAACATAGTGAAACCCTGTTTCTACTAAAAATACAAAAATTAGCTGGGCGTGGTGGTGCGCGCCTGTAGTCCCAGCTACCCGGGAGGCTGAGACAGGAAAATCACTTGAACGCAGGTAGCGAAGGTTGTAATGAGCCAAGATTACACACAGCGAGACCCAGCCTCAAAAAAAAAAAAAGAAATAGAACAGTGACGATCAAGATGCTGAAGTAAGCAAATAACAATGTTCGAAAACTGCTCAAAAGATTAAACATATATGTAATCGGAGTTCCAGAAGATTAGAAAGAATGGGATAGAAGTAACATTCGGCCTGGCAACAAATGATGCCACATGGAAGTCTGGAAATGCAGAAAGGAATGACGGACACTGGAATGGGTAAATAGCTGGATAAATCTAAATGAATACTTACTGTACAAAATAATAATTACAGAAATTTTATACTTCAAAATCAAAGAAAAAAACAGAATAAAAAGTAGAACACAGGAATAGAAGGGAATTTCTTCAATCTGATATAGGACATCTATGAAAAATATACAACTAACATCATACTTGATGGTGAAATATGGAACACTTTCCTTTCCCTAAAATTTATTCAACTGCTTTTTGTTTTGTTTTGTTTTGTTTTGAGACAGGGTGTCACTCTATCACCCACATCGGAGTGCAGTGGCATTATCACAGATTACTGCAATTTCAAACTTCTGGGCTCAAGCAATCCTCCCACCTCAGCCTCCCCAGTAGCTGGACTACAGCTGTGCACCACTGTGACCAACTGATTTTTTTTTTTTTTTTGTAGACAGGAGGTCTCACTTTGTTGCCTAAGCTGGTCTGGAACTCCTGGCCCCGAGTGATCCTCCCTCCTCAGCCTCCCAAAGTGCTGGGATTACAGGTGTGAGCCACCTCGCGCAGCACTGTACTGGAGTTCCTAGCCAGTACAATAGAAGAAAAGAAATAAAAGTCAAAGAGATTAGAAAGGAGGTACAATAATAATTCTGTCTTCATTGGCAGATAATATAACTGTGTATATAGAAAACCCAGAAAAATCTACAAAAAGGTACCAGAAGCAAGGTCACAGATTATAAAACCAATATTAAAAAGTCATTTGAATTTTTACATATTAGAAATGATGAACTGGAAAACAAAATAATTTTAATTGCAAAAATTATGTTGGAATAAATTCAATGAAAGATGCACAAGACCTCTTCACTGTAAACTACAAAACACTGCAAAGAAATTGAAGATGACCTAAAATAACAGGGATATACTATGTTTATGTTTTGCAAGACTCAATATTTTTAAGATGTTCGTTCTCTCCATATATTGATCTATATATTCAATACAATCCCAATTAAAAAGTAGGTTTTTTTCTTGTTTTTTTGTTTTTTGTTTTTGAGATGGAGTTTTGCTCTTTTTGCCCAGGCTGGAGTGCAATGGCGCAATCTCGGCTCACCGCAACCTCCTCCTCCCAGGTTCAAGTGATTCTCCTGCCTCAGCCTCCCAAGTAGCTGGGATTACAGGCATGCACCACCACGCCCAGCTAATTTTTTGTATTTTCAGTAGAGACGGGGTTTCTCCATGTTGGTTAGGCTGGTCTCGAACTCCCGACCTCAGCTGATACACCTGCCTCGGCCTCCCAAAGTGCTGGGATTACAGGCGTGAGCCACCGCACCCAACAAAAAAGTAAGTTTTATGTAATTGACAAACTGGTTCTAAAATTCATATGAAGATACAAAAAAACCCAGCTGTGTTCCAGTTACTTCGGCTGTACAACCAATTACTCCAAAACTTCATGAAGCAAAACAATCATATATTATGCTCTCAGATTCTATCAGGAATTCAGTCACGGCACTGTGGTTTGTCTTTGTTTCATGATGTCTGAGGCTTTAGCCAGAAGATATACAGGCTGGGTCTGAAGACTCTACACTTATTCAGATAGACAGGCAGCTACTCTTTGTGAATCAGTCTAGGCTTCCTCACAGCATAGGAGCAGAGTTCAGGAGGTGAAAGTCCCAAGAAAGGGAGAGAGCAAATGCAGTTATTACTTCCACTACATTCTGTAGGAACAGGCAGTCAGTCACAAGCTCCCATCCAGATTCATGAAGAGGGAATATAGACCCCACCCCTGGGTGGGAGGAGTGTCAAAGTCACTAGGAAAAAGACCACGAGGAATCGTAAATATTGCTGCAATCAGGAAAATACAAACTGCCACAAACGGCCAGAATAATCCTGGGGGCGGGGGCGGGCAGGGGAAAGAGGAGGGTTCAAGGAATTTCAAGGCTTATTATAAAGCTACAGTATAATATACAACTCCCTTAATTTCAAGACTTATAAAGCGATGACATTCAATACTGTCAAACTGACCCAAGGATACCCAAATATAGCAATGGAAGAGAATCAAGAATCCAGAAATAGATCCACACATATAGTCATTTGATTTTTAATAACACAGCAGCAAGGTAATTAAATGAAGGAAACAACAAGTGATGTTACAACTACTACATATTTAAAAAAAAAAAAAAAAAACTACTCTCAACCTCTACCTTAAACTATACACAAAATATTCAAGAATTCATTCAGGATACATCACAGATGCCCATTTAGCAGACAAAATATGGATGTTTGAGTACCCCATGGCCTCACAAGTAGTTAAATAATTTATTTTTCTAAAAAATAGTTTTCTAAAAAAATAATTTTTCTAATGTAACAGCAAAACATTACAGTTTTGTTTTAATGTAATTTGACCAAGCCCCTTAGATCAACAGGTGGCTCCAGTCAAAAGGGGGAATTAGAGGCTGAGGTGGGAGGATCGCTTGAGCCCAGTTGTGGCTGCAGTGAGCTATGATTGTGCCACTGTGCTGTAGCCTGAATGACAGATCTAGTCCCTAAAAAAGAGAGTAGGGGGGAAGGTGGATTAAATGCGAGATATTTGGTCAGTCATTGGTCAAACACTGCTAAGCACTATGAGAGACAAAGTCAGCCACTAGCCACGTTTATGAGCCCACAAAATCAATGATCACAGTATTATGTGATCATCACTGTGATAACAATTAAAATTCATCTTAACCTCAAAATTTCTCACAACAATTTCCTAGGTGCAAATACCTAATCGACCTATACGTTTAAAGTCAATAAGAGAAGTCTGCTCTGCAGGTAAATACATAATTATCACATTGCACATTCCACCTTCCCAGAGTCATCTAAAATTTAGCGGTGCGCTGGTAAAATGTTTAACAGTTGGCTTTAGGCAAGGGCTGATTTGTAGTGTAGCCAATTTCCATTGTGTATTCATTCATCGTGAGCATGACATTACTGAATTGTGACACCACTGAACCCAGAGTTGGGAAGAGATGCACAGTAGAGCACCATAGTATAGTATCTCCTCCACAGAGATACAATAGATGTATAAATAACCCCAAAAGCAAAGTAACAATAAAAGATGGTAAATAATAAAAGTGATGAGTTTTTAGTATTTCCACTGCCTTTAACATACTTTATGTAATTTTACTTTTATATAATTGAGTTTTCGATCATGGCTCTGTTTAGCAATGGGATCCTGTGAGTCAGTACTAAATTAAATACAACCTAAGCATTCAAAATAGGGTAAGAAGTATAACTTAAAGACGTGCTCCACTGCGAATTACACGGAATCTTTGACTACGCCGACTAAACAGAAGGCTATTCTTAAGTACCATCCCATATGTGCTAGTTTTTCAAAACCAACAATAAAGCAATTGGGGAGGTGCCTTGTACACGGAACGACGCCATGAGGCATTTGAGATGAACGTCCAAAGGGACAAAGAAGCCAGACCGCTTTCGAGAACAGGGACAGAACGTTTCCGTGCTTCAGCTGCCGGGGGCGGCGCCGGAAGGCTGGGTGAGCTCCACTGGAGACGACACACCGGGGTGGTTAGGCCCCAGACACGCGCGTGACCTTGGCTGGACCCTGGGAGCGGATGGGCCAGGGGCGAGCCCCAAGCGCCCTCCCCGTCCCCGCGCCGCTTTGGCTCCCGGGGGAGCTCGGTCGGGACTGGCGGGCGCTGAGCCCTTCCCCTTCCGGAGCCCAGGAAGGCGGCTCCCCGCGGCGCCGGCCGCGCGCGCGCCCGCCCTTACCTTGAGTGGACGCGGCCATTTCGGTGAGCTTGTCTCGCGAGGACACACGCAGAGGATCTGCGCGGCAGGCCGCGGAGTGGCGCTCAGTTGTCGCCACCACTTGGCTTCCGGCACGTGGGGCAGATGTTTCCATTCCCACAGCGGCAGCGGAAGAGGGCGGGCCGGGCGCGCCGCTCCTGCTTCCAGTCTCCGCAAGCGGCTACATCACAGAGCTCAGCGGGCGGTGTCACAGGCCCCGCAGCCCCGCCCAACAGATGCACCGAGATGCGCGTGCGCAGAAAGCTTCCCGGGGGTGAGGCTCCCTCCCTAGTTCTCCCCCTACTCCCCACCTCAGTCTCCCCAAACCACCCCCCACTGTCCCCCATTTTCCCCCCTCCACCAACCGCGGCCGTCGGGGCTCGCTCGCTAAGTACGTGGAGGCGAGTTCCTGACGCGACTGCGACTCAATCCTCACCTGGTGAAGAATATTTTACCTATGACTCACTGAAAATAAAGGCGGCTGAGTGACTGTGTTTGCTCATGTAAACATTGAACAAATATTTATCGGCTCCTGCGATGTGCCCTACTCTTTTAGTGGAGGAAGACACATTTTATTTATGTATTTAATTTTTCTTTTGAATTTTACATGTGAGTTATACTTAATAAAACTGACTTCAAAATATATCTTCAACAGAAAATTCAGCAAGTTTCTATTATGTTAGTTAAAACAGCCAGTCTTTACTTTTAAAAATTATTCATAAATGTAATTAGTGAATGATAATAAACAGTGATATCTGATCCACTACTTTAGGAGTGACACAATCAAGCTATTTTCTTTATAATCACTGTGCTATTGTTTTCTTTCTCTTTTCAATTATACTGCTTAATATAGGATTTTGTAGCACCATAGGAGTTGAGTAAAAATAAATCGGTAGTTGTGTGGCTGTAGGCAAGCCATTTAACCTCTCTGTACCTCAGTTACCTTATCTGTATCCACATTGCCATGTTGTCATGAGGATTAAATCAGATAGCCTATGTAGCACCTGGCAGAGAATTTATCACCCTGTACTGTAACTGTCTACTTTTCTGTCTCCTCCATTGCACTGTTATTCCCAGAGGATTGGGAACTGGGATTTCTTCAGTTCTGAGGCATAGAAGTATAGCATAGTGGTTAGGAGCATGACTTCGGGAGCCAGAGTACATGGGTTTGAATGCTACCACTCACAAGCTGTGTGACCACGAGGAAGTTGCCTAACCTCTCCGTGCTTCAGTTAAAATGAAGGTAAGAGTAGTACCTGTATTTAAAAGCACCTAGAATAGTTCCTGGCATGTAGTATCAGCTGTCATCTCTGCATCCTTGTACCTGTTGGAGAGGAGTGTTTATCAAAGGGACTTCTTGCCGCCTGTTTCCAAACCAGTCAACAGTATACCAATTGCTCCTGAACACATTCTTGTTTGTGCAGAACTGAGCTCAATGATAACGTTTTTATAGCAACCCTGATCAAGTTTCTTCTCATAAGCTTTTACACTTTGAGGCCCCTGTGGGAGACCTCACTCTCCCTAATACACATTAACCTGCGTAGGGTGTTTGAGCTCACCATGGCTACATTCTGATGTAAAGATTCTATACCTGGGCCAAATGTAAACAACCCGGAAAAGTGTTAGGTTAAAAACAAGACAAAATAAATAAATGAATAAATGCCAGGTGGTTATGAGTGCTATTGAGAAAAATATCAGTAATGCAGGTAGGGTAAAGAGCTTACAACATAAATGTGGTGTTCCATATTTAAACCTCATTCAACAGGCAAGATTTGAGCTGAAATGCGAAGGAGTTGTGGGAGAGGAACTACGTGGAAATCTAGGGGAAAAGAAATAGCAAGTATTGAGGTCCAGGGGCATGAGTGTGCTTGGTATTTTAGGGAAGAGTAAGGAGACCAGTATAACCAGAGTGAGATGAGACTACAGAGGTCAGGAGAAAGGGCATGCCAACCATGTGGGATGCTCTAGTACTTAGGCCGTGGTAAAGATGTAGGGTTTTACCCTGATGGAGGTCAGAAGCCATTGGAGGATTCTGAGAAGAGGAGTGGTAGGATTTGCTTTATAGTTTTAAATTATAACTATAAATTATAGTTTTTAAAACAATAGTTGCCTAACCTCATGTTTTATGTAAAACTATAGTTTTAAAAACTATAAATTACTCACACTAGCAGCAGTGTGGGGGGCAAGTGCAGAAGCAGAGAGACTAACAGGTTGCTGGTTACTCTTGCTAGTGCAAGTGAATTCTAGAATCTTCGACAACATCCAGAACTTCTCTTGCTGCTGCCAATCAGGAAGAGGGTTGTAGTAGGCTAGGAATAGGAGCACAAATTAAAGCTCCTGTTCACTTTGACTTATCCATCCCTCTCCTCCTTTCCTTAAAGGTTCTGATTAAAGCAGACTTCTCATGCCTCTACTGCTCTCAGAAGTGAATGGGTTAAGTTTAGCAGCCTCCCTTTTCCTACTTCAGTTCTGCCTGTGGCTACTTCCCACTGATAAAAAGGAAGCAATCCTGTCGGTTACTGCTTAGTGCTAAGCACATCCAGTGTGTAAAGTTCCTTAAAATGCTCTGCAAGGAAATTGCCACTTTTCATTAAATCAGAAATTTTACTTTTTTCCCCTCCTGAGAGCTAAAGATATTTTAAAGAAGAATTAACCTTTTGCTTCTTCAGTTGAACATTTGTGGCAACAAGTCATGCAAATAGAGCTCTCCACCTACTTCTTTCTGTGCCTTTTGCGATTCTGCTTTAGTGCCACCAGAAGATACTACCTGGGTGCAGTGGAACTGTCATGGGACTATATGCAAAGTGATCTCGGTGAGCTACCTGTGGACACAAGGTAAAGGCATGTTCTGTGGGGTCTGATGAGGGGCCAGGATTGTGGGGGTGTAAGTCTGCTTGGAGGAAGGTGCAGACATCGGGTTAGGATGGTTGTGATGCTACCTGGGCCCCAAAGAAGCATTTCTGAGTAAGTTGTGCTCACATCTGTGTTATTAGCACAAATGCTAATTGCCAGTTCTTTTCATAGGTCTGACCTGTTTGTTGATATTTTGTTCTGTTTTGTCCATTGCTCCTCTTTGTCACATGCTGCTCCTCCAGAATCTAGAGACTGGGGTATAGGGAGGTTGAAGAGACAAAGACAAAACTTCCCTCTGCCTGCCCAAGCTTCCATAGAGAGAAGGCAATGAAATCCAATCAATATCACACACGAGTTTCATGTCTGGTTCTCTTGTGTGTACATGCGATGTGTGTTTTTTAAATATCTTTTCTACTTTGGGTGTAAGGATAATATGAGCCATGAGTTCAGAAGCTTTTCATGTTTGGGGCTTTCTGGTGCATTTAGGGAGAGTACTAAATAACTATCAATATTGTCTATGGTCATCAGTTGATTCAGATTTTTCCACCTCTTCAGTAAATATTGGTATATTTTTGTCTATATTTTGGTCTATATTTTCATAGAAAGAAATCTACTGTCCCTAGATTTGATAATGTATTGGTATCAAGTTACATGTGAGTCTCTTGTGATTTTGTTAAACTGTTCTGTGTCTGTAGTTATATTTCCTTTTTCATTTCTTATGTTGTATATGTTCTCTTCTCTCTTTTAAAAATAATATTTCCAGGAGTTTTCTTGATTTTATTGGTCTTGTCAAGAATTTTCTTTTGGTTTGATTTATCAAATCTCTTTTTTCTTTGTGTTGCATCAGTTTCTGCTTCTACTTTCATTAGTTCATTCCTTCCTTCTAATTTCCTTTGGTTCATTTTGTTGTTCAATTTTTGCTTATTGAGTTGAATGTTGAAATCATTTATTTTATATTTTGTTTTGTCTTCTTTAAATGTGTATTATAAAGATTTAAATATAATACATAGTGGCTACGTAAACATTAAATGTGGTCATATTGTACATACTTTATAGTCTTTTTGGTTCTTTCTGTTTGGCTCCCCACCCTCTTTCCACATCAGTCCCCTTTTCCCCCACCTCAACTGGGTAACCCCGGTATGATCATATATATTCACATACACATACACACAGACAAAGGTTTTCTTGGACACTATTTGTTTTATAAAATTAGGACATTGTACACACATTTCTCACTCATTAACACCTGCTAGAACTGTAAGTCAATTGGCATAGCCTTAATTCATTATATTTATTGGCTATATAAGATTCTATGGTATGGCTGTATCTACATTCACTTTATTCCAGTTTTTGGCTACTATATCCTATATCATTGCATACTGGTGCTTTTACTTCTGTCGAACTAATTTGCAAGAGGAATATTAATGGAACGAAGGGAATGTTTCCTTCTAAGTTTTAATTTCCAAAGAAGCCAGAACTTTTCACACATTTCTACCATCGAAGTATGAAAATGGCCTTCTCTCTGCACTCACGTAGTGATAAGTTTTATCCTGTTTTTAAAATTTGCCAATTTTACAGGTGTGGAGTGATATTACATCATTACTTTCATTGTGTTATTTTTATTTCTAGTAACTTGAGCATCTTTTTAAATGCTTGTTGGCTATTGAATTTATTTGGGGGATTTAATTAGTCATATGCTTTGCCCATTATTCTTTGGACTCTTTCATTTAAAAGAAAATTAGGAGAACTCTTTTATTATTACAAGTATTAACTCTTTGTCATGTATATTGCAGTTTCCCCCAAGATCTATTGTTTGTCTGTTGACTTTGTTATAACTTTTACCAAAACAGTTTTTAATTTTTATAAGCAGAAATATATTTTCTTTCATGTCTTCAGAGTTGGCAAGGTTGGTTAAAAATGTTTCCCACACCTCAAGATTGTACGTGTAGTCTCCCAGATTTTCTTGGCAAAATGTTTACTGTTTTGCTTTTTATATGCATCGCTTCAATTATCTGCTAATTACTTTTGTCATATGGCATGAGAGAGGGATTTGTCTAGTTTTATTTCCATCCAGATCAATAGCCTATTATGATGGCACCTTTTGCCACTGATTTGAATCAACACATTCATCATATAAAGTTCTCATATATATTAGCATATATTTCTGGATTCATTAGGCTGTTTCACTAATCTAGTATTATCTTGCTATGCCAATACCATAGTGATTTGATTACAGTGAGCCTATGATATCTTCTGATATCT